AAACCTAGGTTTCAAATCCCAGCCCCACCAGTTGCTGTCTTGGTTGGACATGATAACAGTTTATCTGAGCCTATCCTTCTGCCTCTAAAATGAGGGTTGGTTTCTTATCCCACTGGGTCACTAGGATTAATTGAGACAATACAAGTAAGATTCCTACCAGAGCTGGCACAGAGTAAGTGTGAAGATAGTTCTTCTCTTCCCATTTCCTATTGTCTCTAGTTCACTGTCCCAAGACACTAACTGTAATGTGTAACAGTATTTTATAAATTATGAATTACTCTATATATATTGAAGTGGTATTTTTATTGTTTCCTTTTTCTTATCTTGCTATGGAATCATGCATGCTAGGAACATAATTGATAATTAAACTGGTCACTCATAGGTTTAAGGGGAATAGTGTTTTATTTCTCTCTTTTTTAATATCATAAGTACCATATTTTCAAGGTATAAATTTTATTTATTTATTTGGTGGTGCTAAAGATCAAATCTAGGGGTTTGTGCATTATAAGCAAATGCTTTACCACCAAGCCATGTCCTAAGTAAAAATTTTAAAAATATAGAGAAGCATAAAATAAAAATCATCTAGGGCTGGGGATTTGCCTCAGTGGTTGAGGTGCCCCTGAGTTCAATTCCTGGTCCCAAAATAAATTTTAAAATTAATTAATTAGGGGCTGGGGATGTGGCTCAAGTGGTAGCGCGCTCGCCTAGCATGCGTGCGGCCCGGGTTTGATCCTCAGCACCACATACAAACAAAGATGCTGTACCCGCCGATAACTAAATAATAAATATTAAAATTTTCTCTCTCTCTCTACCTCCCTCTCTCTTTAAAAAAAATTAGTAATATTAATTAATAGTATTTGTATAATCTCTAGAATGATATACAAACTAATAAAAGCAATTCCTCATAAGTGCCAACGTTAGTGGGGAATATATATATGTATTCTCAATATATCTTTTTGTATCCTTTGCTTGGGTGTGTGGGTGTTGGAGATTGAGCACGGGGCCTTGAGCATGCCAAGCATATACTCTACCACTGAGATAATAACCCCAGCTCCCTCTCATTTGATTTTTGATCCATGTAATAAATTATCTCTTCTAAATAAATAAATTTTTTAAATTGTTTCTGGAAACCCATGGCATAGTTACTAGCAGCAATCCTTCTGAAATCACAAACCTTTGAAACTGGTTTTCTGTATTAAATTCATTCGTTGTATGCAAAATTTTACTCTTGCAGTATTAGAAATGGTCTATGTGGCTCACTGTGCTCTCTGCTGTATTTCAGCCTTTCATTCGCTGTAGTTTACAGTGCAGGGATCTAGTTGATGAAGCAAAGAAGTTTCATCTGAGGCCTGAACTTCGGAGTCAGATGCAGGGACCCAGGACAAGAGCTCGTCTAGGTAAGCTGGCATCTTGACTGAATTAGGTGATATCTCTCAATTACCTCTTTCAGGTGGCATAATACAATTGAAAAGACATTCTGTAAGCAGTACAAAGACTTTGTTTCAGACCTGCTCTTAATCTTTTATTCTGTCATCTTAGGCAAGTCACTGCATTCTAAGCTTCCTTTCCTAGGAAGCAAGAATATCTTTCCTATGTATTTCACATAACTATTTGGAAATTAAATGAGATAATGTTTAAAAGTACTTTATATATTGTCAAGTGTTATGTAATATGTTACAATTTTCTTGGAGTATTTTTGGTTTCTGTGAGAGACTTATTTTGGATGTCATGTGGTAAGTGGTAATACTCTCTCCCACTTCTCCCCTTGTCCTTAGCATGGTCCTTTTTTCCATTCTAGAATGAAAAAAGGAAGGAAAAGTAACCCAATATAGTAGAAAATACAGGAACATTAGCAGTGACATGCACAAGAGCCCAACCCTGGAGCCAGACTTGTGGGTATCCACAGTTCACCACTTACTAGATACATTAACTTGGGTAGGAAACAACTTCTCTGTGCTTTAATTGCCTCACTTGTAAAATAGGAATCATCATAGCACCTACCTCTAAAGCTATTTCAAAGGAAGTAATTTGTGAAGGCCTAGCATAGTTCTTGTTATCTATTATTTTAGTAAA